ATCAAGTTAGATCCTGCCACTAAAGGGAGCATATTCCTTTTTCTCCCTTTAACTTTAATATGCTTTAGATGTTTTTTTTGCAAACAATGAGAGCATCATATGTAATAAGTTTGAGAGTAGGGTTGAAAAAGGAAAATCCATTTTCATGATGTGACCAAACCTCAGAAACTGAGTACAACTCGGACACTGGCGAAAGGCGACACGACTTTGGAGCTTATGCGACGCGAATCCGATGTTTTTTGAGAATCAAATAAATAGATGAACCCCTCCATTCCAGAAGATATACCAACTTGAGAGACTAGCTATATTACGAAAATCAAAAACCATATGGGAATTCGAAGCTGAAGAACAACGAGTGTCGTTTTGAATATCTAAGCGTAGAAACATAAATTAATCATTCGATTTGCTTTAGTATAATATTTAGCAATTCCTTTTTGATTTCTCTTTGTGTTTTAGCTATAACTATGGAGTAATACCCCTTGGTTCCGCTTAGATATAAACGAACCCTTAATACTATGGTTTGATTTATTAGCTGGATTTATAAACTTTATTATTTATTATGTTTGTTTGAATTAAAATCCTTATGTATTAAAGTTTTGATTTTTATTACCTATAACCAAGTTTTATATAGTTTAGAGGATCAATCTGACTATATATGCTTGTGTCTTAACTAATTTATGAACAATAAACTGTTAGGACTAGAGATGAACCAAATCCTAAGGTTAGATTATATAATCATGACTTGTAATGTGTAAGTTAGCATTAGATGACCTTGTATGCTTAGATTGATTTTCATGACCATTAAGATTAATCACTAGATCAAATCTTTTATAATTCGAACATTTAATTGATTATTTAGTTAGTTAATTGTGTGACCATTGTTTTAGTTGCTTTATAATTAATAATATTAGTTAATCGGATCAAGATAGTTAGTCAATATAGAGATATGTAATTAACAATATAAATCCATTGCACTTCTATTAAATCAACCATAGGGAAAGAGGGGAATTCGGGATCTAAGTGGAAGTACTTTAAAGTTATTGTTTTAATCAAGTTATTTTCTTTCATTTGCTAGTTTGCAAGTTAATTCAAGTTTAATTTAGTTTAAATAAAACCCCCAATTTACTTTTCTGTTTTAGTTTAATTTCGAGTTTAATATTCTGATTCGAAATCATACCCGTTCCCATTAGGTTCAATACCAGGTCTTGCTGCAACGATACTGCTATACAATTAGGTACACTGCCTAGTGTGTGTTACAATGCAGTTGTGTTAAAATCACTTTTATATGAAAATTTGCTTAATTTTTAGTATATAAAATCACACATCAGAAGTCTAACATATTTTATCGTATCATAAGGGTATCATTATTCATGGTCTTCATATCCAAGAGTCACCTAATTTTAAATGCATACTCAAATATGCATCGGGTCGGTTGTCCTTATGATTGACATTTCATTACTAGATTTTGTGTTTTCTTAGGCTGAATTTGATTGGTTAGAGTATAAAGGAAATATGTTGTTGCTAAATCTGGTATCTATTTCGAGTATCGAGATTTACATCAACATGTACTTATATATGTTAGCTGACTTTTCTGCATGAGCTTTGCCTAACCCTTCCTTGTACGTTGACTCTATGGTGCGATAGTTTTAGCATCACCTACTTGGTAGGTAATTTGAAAACATATTAAGATTGGTATCCATTTCATGTGAGACATGGTTATATAAGGATGCCTGATGTTTCACATGTTCCTACCATGACTCAATTGTATATTAACAAAAGGTCTTTTGATTGCCTAGTTCTCATACTTAGGATCCAAGCTTCACATCACTACTTTTGTTTTGCTTGAGGGGCATAAAGAGATTTGATATTGATAGTTTTCCATATCAACATGAGGTTGTTACGCTAAGTTATGACCTGATCGACTTAGTAACTCTCATTCTTCATTTTCTTGTATAAATTCACACCCCTTTTTTCTTTTTTCTTGTATAAATTCACAACCCTTTTTCATTTTGAAAACACATACCACAATTTACTCTTTGAAAAGAGTTTTTTTTTCTATAGATTTAGTTCTTAATCTGCTTCAATACTATTAAATACTCGTATGTAAAATTTTCACCACTCACCCAAACATCTATATAAGTATAGATATGCCACTACGAGAAAAAGAAACTATAATGACATACGGATTGTGACACACATCTGATTTATGACAGACATAAATGTGTGACGTTAACAATATATTTTGTGAAAATTCACGCGACAACGTACAATAATGTACGTCGTATTTTAGTGTCTAAATGAAACAAAAACAACCTACCTGCTTTAGTTTTTTATCATTATATTTAATAAATAGTCGTATATGAATATCATAAATGTATGTCGTTAATTTATGATGGACAAATGCCTATCGTTTATTCCATATGACGATGATTTTAATTTTTATGGAAACGGCAAATATATTGATATAAGTATAAAAGCCCAACGATCAGCATGGAGCTAAGGAAGGAAATACAAAGGGAAACCAGAAGATGATGATTTCAATGATAAACACTAGGTTAAAACCCGTGGCACCCACGAGTGTTAATTTTAAATAGAATTTAATATTTAATTATGTAATAAAATAATATTTCATTAATTTAGAAAACTTTTGAATTGTAATATAATAACTTTGTGGCTTGTAAGTGTTTAATTACACATTAAATGGTAAGTATTTAATCACAAATGAAGATTTTTAAAACCCTGATTTTTGGTGTATGATTCTCGTTGAATATACGGAGATGATGACACAACCACAAGGAAGCGAGTGGGAAGAAAAAACGTTTGTTGGCTAAAACGCCACTTTTACCATTATAACTTATCATCCCAATAAATCTTCAACTCCACTATCTCGGTAAGTCGTCATTGTCATTGTAGGATTTTTACTCCTTCATTGTTAATGGCGTTAATTTCGTGAGATTAATAGAAATTGTTGGTGTCTTCGTCAGTTTTTTTCAAAACTTTACATTGATTTATCGCTTCATGTGTTTCTTGTTTAGGCTTACTGGCCATAACCTTCAAATCTGTGCAATGGTTGTGTTTTTCTTAGGATATGTTCTCTATTTTTAGTAATTTTGTAAATTTTAAATATTTAATTACAAATATAATCCACCTATTTTATAAAAGTCATGACTTTATATAATGCAAAATACGTTTGAGTAATGGCAAAAAAACCCAAATAAAACATGAAAATTGATTTGATACAAAACAAACAAAACATGTGTGTAATGAAATTAACATAAAAAAATACAATACGTAATTATAAATAAATAAATTAATATGATGGATTGAGTGTGATTTGCTAAAAATGACTAAAAGATGCTACAAAAAAGTTGGTTATAAATTGCGAAAAACTTTATTATAAACAACATTGGAAGTTTTATTTGTGAGACTACTATATTTATCTAAAATTAATAATTTTAATCCCTCTCTGCTTTGAACTCTAGATAAGGCAACATACAATTACCCATGTGAAAAATTGGATCTTTGAACTCAGAACAATCAATGACATTATGAACCGTGAACTGATAATCGAGTATAAAATCAAACTCAAATCATACCATAAAAACCAGTGGGGTGCAAACTGAAACTCAATTTTACCTGAAAATCTTGAAATCTGTAGATTGAGCCCTAACCGACACCCATCAACTCTGATGTTAACCACCATATGTCCGATTTCTTATTTTTTTTCTTTTTTATGATGTTTAACATCGGTCCTAGAGAAGCAATATATGAAAAACTATTTCCGTTTTTCATTTTTCACCGGTAGCGGATCGTTGATCGGAATTGTTTTTTCATCGAAGAGTATCCATAATGATTCACTCAACGGAGATTTCAGTAGTCTGCAACGAACCATTGATGGAGAGGGAACTTGAATAAATCTTGAATTCGATGAGATAGAAAAAGGAGATGGGGAGGTGGAATCAAGATATCAACTCTAACATGAAACCAAAAACCCAAAAAGAAAAAGTCGCATGAGAAGATAAGAAAAAGAGAAACACATGGGGATTTTGAAAGCAGTTATCACAAGAATCTCTACGCTTCACGATGTGAACTACTCACCTATTTCATCTCTGATGCCTCTACATATAGTTGAATCAGTTCAAAATCATCATTGGAAAACCCTAAACTTGAAGACGAAAACATAAACCTAGGAGCAAGCGAAGGAGAAACACTTGGGGCTTTTGTCAACCATTTGCAGAAATAAGCATCACGTATTCTGAAAATCACAAACCCAAATGCAATTTTATTATTTCTCTGAAGAACTTAAAAAAACAATTGCAGACCACAAGAAATAGAATGAAGAATATGAAGTTTGAAAAGTAACCTCAGAATCGTATAAAATTTACTGAAGTGAACCATAATGAAACGTAATTTCCTTATCCAATGATCCATCATAGAAGAACATCAATTCTTAATAAGAAGATATTTGGAGATAATTGTGGTGAAATAGGGTTTAGGGATTCATACCGAATTGAAAGAGACGACCTTCGGGCGAAAATATAGTAATGTTACGATCATATCCACCTCCACTTCCACGACTCATGATGATGATGCTAGGATCGGTGTTCTTCGGTGAATATTAGTAATGGAAAAGAAAAAAACATCTGAGAATGATAGGATCATAGATAATCGTAACTCGTAACATCGTAACATAAGGGCCAAGGAGAAGGGCAGTGTTGGTATTTCACTTTAAAGATTGGAACGGGAAATATAGATTGGAAGGGGCTTACAGTATGCCACGTGACATTTTAGGTACTGTTTTATTAAAAGAAAGGATTTATAGTCATCTATAGTCATTACGACGATACATGTCATTCAAAAAAAAAACCTAGTAGCGTGTGTTAAAACTATCCATAAATTGTTTTCAAGTCAAAAAAAATTAAAGTCAAAAAGTGAAAACGCACAACCACGAGCGGCCCAATATATTCATTCCTCATTAAACCAAACTTCCATCATACCACCATCTATCTATCGAGATTCGGACAAAACATCTCTGTAGATCTCTTACATGATTATGAAAAAACACACCCTTGTCTTCACCATTTTCCTACATCTTAACCAATCGCTCAGTTTGGATCCCAGCTACGAAGCTTGTGTTGCAAAAGACTGTGGAGATGGGCGTAAAGTTAGTTTTCCATTTTTCATCAACGAACTACATGATTCCTCTTGTGGTTACCCTGGATTTGAGCTCCGCTGCAGCAATGGCTCCTCAATTCTTCGGATCGCAGAAAACGACTTCATTGTTAAAGATATTCAATACAAAAACAGCTTCCTCCGTCTCCAAGACGCGGCGATTTTGCCGAATCCAACTGAATCCTGTCCCTCGAAGATCAGGAACATAACGCTTGACACTAACCGATTCTGGATAGACACCGTTTCTACTATGGAACTCATTTTGATTTCAAACTGCTCGAGTGTATTGCCGGTGAATCTGGAAAGGTATAGAATACGATCCTGTGAGGAAAGTAATGAGGTGGTGATGCTTGCTAATGATATGAACTTGAGAAATGTAACGAGAAGTTGTGGGTATGGTCGTAAGGTTGTGGAGACGCCGGTAGAATTGAGTGGCGAAGAAGGGAGGGGTCAGGTCATTGACGGTGATAACTACCAGGAGGTAGTGGAAAGGGGGTTCGTGTTGCATTGGCTTGCGACGGATTGTGGTGTTTGTGAGAGCAGCGGTGGTAGGTGTGGGTTCAATAAGACGACTTTCGGATTTCGTTGTTTTTGTCGCGATAGGCCCCATATGGTGAGTTGCCGGACTGGTAAGAACTTTCATTTTTGGTATAAAATCAACTTGTCTCAATTTCACATACGACAAATAAATAACGAAGGAATGTGATACTAGTATAAAAAAGTTAAAATATTTTGTTTTATATAAGATAAATAAAAAACATAAATAAAACTCACCTCCCAAACAATAATGCATCACCCACCGGCCACTGTTATATGTTCACTTTACGACATTATTTTACTTTTCAATTTTAGCAATGCTACATCATGTTTTAACCGATGTTTAAAAATTAATTTTTTAATTCAACCAATATGATCACCGGCGGTTATCGTTTTAATCGGGTCAATTGGCAGGTTAACCCGGTTTCTATTATTTTTTTTTTTTATTTTCATTTTAATTTTTTGTACATACAAGTTCAAACATTAGAAATACATATAAAAATTAGTGATAGATCACACCAAATAAACTAAGAAAAAACATATCCATAAGTTTTACATCAATCCACATATATTAAAAATAAAATAAAATATAATATCAAAACAAAATTATAGTTCTAGATGAATACACACGTATAAAAAAACTTAATAACATTTATCATGTGTTTTTATTTAATTTAAGAGAAGTCTAAATAGATGTAAAAAATATACTAACGTTTGTTATGCAAAATGTTTTATTTTCATGTGTTTTTATTCAATTTAACATGCTCAATCGATTCAATTTGTTGTTTGTAAAAACCGACTGGTTCATTTTGATTTAAAAATAGACATAAAACCGATGTTAGTTTACTGCTTCAGTTCAACCAGATTTTAAAGATACTATTGACTGGACCGTGTTTCAGTCTATTCCAGAATCACAAAATAGGTTTTTAAGTTTTTTCCTTGTTTTTCATATATTTTTTTAATATTGATAAATGATAGGTAAAGTTTTATTTTTTAATTATTTCCTTTCTTGTGTTTACCTGATTTCTATGCACCTAATATAGTTTTGGAATGTATAAACTAGTTATTTAAGTATTTATTTCTAACTAGAAGTTGACCCCTCCCCGCTTTGTGGGAGTCGCAAACGTGTTCATCCATTGTCGATAGAGGTTTGGTTTTAGGGATTTTTTGGTACATCATGCTATTATTTTGGGTTTACATGACTAACTTTAATTTATATCGTCGTATGAAAACGTATGATTATATGTGACCAAAGTCACATGTAGAAAACATACCTAAAAATAAGCATAAAAATGTACACATAAATTTACGTCGAAACGTAAAGAAAATCGAATTTACAACGTACATAAACATAAGTGAGTAAATGTTTTTTAAGTTAACGAACAAAAGTCCAGACAATAGAAAACGCATTATATGTGACTTGAATTATACATAAGAAGCGTACATAAAAATAAGCATGAAAACGTAAAAAAAAATTACAAACGTAGACAAACTTAAATTTATATATAATACGAGGGCTAAACACGAAAGTTTAGAAAATAGAGGTGGTAAAAATGACATTTTACAAATTTCAAAGTCGAATGAGTGAAAATGATATTTTTAAAACGTAGACCGGTGGAAAATGTCATTTTACGAAGTATTGGAAAAAATAGAGGGTAGAAAATATCATTTTACAAAAATGGTGCAAATTGTCGGTGGAAACATCCATTGACATTGCCTTTAAAAATATATTAAATTACCCCGCTTTGCGGGAGATGTAATATGTAACTTTTCTATTGGCAGAGACATTTTTTGCAATTTTTTTAAACATATCGACAATTTTTGTAATCTATAAATTTTATATTATTAAAGTGACCATTTTGTATTTTTTATACATCTGGATCATTTCTGTAAGAAAAACTGCACATGGACCTTTTCTGAAAATTATAGGGGCGGTTTTTTGTGATTTATTTTTTATACAGAGACTAAACCTGACAACATACAAAACTCTTGTGGCCAAAGTCCTAAAACCAAAAAGTTTGCGGTCTATGTTTTAAAACCAAAAATTTTGGGGCCACATTCCTAAAGTCAAAAAGTTAACTATTCCTAGGAGGGTTGCGAGGTTTCTAGTGTTCATAAGGCACCATACAAAATGATGAACACATAAAGGTAATAAAATTGAGTTATGGTGATAACAGTTTAAATTTAGAATATATAATCAACAGCTAATTAATATGTTAAATTTTATTAAAATATGATAGCTTGACTGGGTTTTTGTCCATGTAGGAACAAAAAAAAAATCACCAGTGATTCTTGTCACGGGTAAGTTATCACATACACACCTTTTGTTCACCCGACTTAGCTTTTCAGTTTCAACAGTAACTAATTTAAGGCTTTTAAATCATTATTTAATGCAGCTCTTTGTATAGGATTAGGGACAATATTGGTTGTGATAATGTTATGCTTCATAAGGAAATTCAAAAGGAGAAGAAGTACTGAGAGCTATGTTAATGTGGAAAATTTTCTAAAAAATCATGAGTTTCTCGCAAAAAGGTACTCTTATTTGCAAGTAAAGAAGATGACAAACATCTTTGAAGTCAAAGTAGGACAAGGCGGCTTTGGGTCCGTGTATAGAGGGGTGCTAAGTAACGGAAACCTAGTGGCCGTGAAGATTTTAAGCGAATTAAAAGGTAAAGGCGAAGATTTCATAAACGAAGTTGCAAGTGTTGGCAAGACTTCCCATGTAAATATCGTAAGTCTTGTCGGATTTTGCTTCGAGGGCCATAAAAGAGCATTGATCTATGAGTTTATGCCTAATGGATCGCTTGAGAAGTTCATACATGACCAAATACATGACCAAGCTTCTTTAGATAATAGCCAACTTGGGTGGAAAAAGTTGCATGAGATTGCTGTGGGGATAGCTCGGGGCTTAGAATACTTGCATATTGGTTGCAACACACGGATCTTGCATTTCGACATAAAGCCCCATAATATACTTTTGGATCAAGATTTTTCTCCTAAGATATCTGACTTTGGGCTTGCCAAACTATTCCCCGAGAAAAGAAGCATGATATCAATGTCACATATGAGAGGAACACCGGGATATATTGCTCCTGAAGTTTATTCTAGAAATTTCGGGCAGGTATCCCATAAATCAGATGTTTATAGTTATGGGATGATGATTTTGGAAATGGTTGGAGGGAGGAAAAATATTGAGGCAGAAGTTGATCATACAAGTGAAATATACTTTCCTCATTGGATCTACAAAAAGGTTGAATTTGATGAAGAACTTGGACTACATAGAAGTATGAGCAATGAAGAAAATGAGATGGCAAGAAAAATGATTATAGTGGGCTTGTGGTGCATACAAACTAATCCCGTTAACCGACCCACAATCACGAAGGCATTGGAAATGTTAGAAGGGGACTTGGCATCATTAGAATTTCCTCCAAAACCTTATTTGTCTTCTCCATCAAGGTTGGGTGCTTCCTCAATTACAGATTAACTAGATCATCTATGCTCATTTACTCAAGTATATTTTCATGTGGTTATATATCATAAATTTGTACCTGGGGACTTGTGGTGCACAAAATACCCAAGCCTATTAGCAATTATTATATATGGCGAGTGTCATGTAATAAGGGAGAAGGTTTGAAAATCCATCCATAATTGAAAAGTTATTGACGATTTTGGTTTATTTGTTACTTCATCATTGCACTGTTTATATTTCCACATTTTCTTTACCATAAATAGTTTATGTCAATCTGTGGTTCAAGGACACACATATCTTGGTCTGGATATGATTATAAGTTCATAATACAACTTCAATCATTAATTTTTTAAGTGCATTATTGTATGCATAGTATACTACATCAAAATGAAAGGATGCTAATTTATCATATAAGCAATTACTATATCTCTGAGACTGTGTTGGTGTAGCAGCAGGATCAATTTTGTCAATGGAAAATACTCGTCATTAAATTAAACTAGAAGTTAACTACTTGCTGCTTAGCAGGATCAATTTTGTCAATGGAAAATACTCGTCATTAAATTAAACTAGAAGTTAACTACTTACTGCTTTTCTATATCACTGAGATTCATATCCATTTGTTTGTAAAACGTTATCAAATGCTGGTGGAAGGCTAATAAAAATGGCTTCTGATGGCATCGAACACTGAAGGCTTTTACCCTGAAGACACAAGCTTTATTCAGTAGTTTTATTCATAAAACAGAAAAGGGAGAACACATTGCCTATTTGAACTAAGAAAATCCCATAAAACAAGGAAACAATCACTCCTATCTACCCATTACCAGAAACCTATATCCAACATAGCTTTGAATTATTCAACCTCCTAGAATTGGTAAAATAGTAGATAAAACATGAAGTAAATAAAACATTCAATGAAATCTGGATTAAGACAATATTCTCCCCCTAATCCAGAATTTGTTACCTTTTTTACTCCAGTTAGCTCCCGCATTTCCTTATGCTTCACTTGTGTCATTGCCTTTGTGAGTATGTCAGCTCTTTGTTCTTTGTTGCAAACATGAGTCACTCTTACTTCTCCATTCTCCACACACACTCTAATAAATTGAAATCGGGTATCGATGTATTTGTTGCGCCCATGAAACACGAGGTTTTTCATGAGGTCTAATGCCAACTTATTATCAATGTGGCTACTGGTTGTCGGGTTATCTCTTCAAGAAGACGACATATCCATATCGCTTCGTAGGTTTCCATGGTTGCAGCCATGAACTCCGCTTCATACGAGGATAGGGCTACACACCGCTGTTTCTGAGATGCCCATGTGACAAGATTCTCGTTGATGTAGAATGCCATACCACCATGTACTTCTTCTATCATTCACATGTATTGCCAAATCCAAGGGCGGAACAGGGACGTTACAATTAGGGGGGCCGAACGAAAATTTCAAAATAAAGCTAAACAAATGATCCATTATTTTTTTGTATCGATTCTTAGTAGCACGGACACTATATTTACGAGTATTTAAAACAATGTGATTTTCGTAATCTTAAAAAAACTTGTATGTTTTATTTAAACTCGTAAAAAACATATTGTTTTTTCATGTTATTAAGTTACTATATAACCAAACTACCTAACAGTTAACATTAAACGATATAAATTAAAATTTTAACAATAAACATCTCAATTCTCAAATAATAGATATGTTCTTCTGATTCTAATACTTTTGTTTAATTGTTTTGTTGTGTTTGGGATACCGAAACTTAAGACTTATTTTAAACAATTAAAATTTGAAATATATTTAACAAACTGAAAATAATGATCCAAAAGCTTGGATAAATATAATGATTATAAATAAAATTGAGATTAATAATCAAAAGATATCCTATCGATTTTCTATGCAAAAGGAGTGTGTACTAGCATATTGTATTCCTTCATAAAAAGCTGCAAAAGAAACAATATAAAAACACATATACTCTCTCTAGTCTTTCTCTAATAATCTCCTTCATATAGTCAAAAACAAAAAACAAAAAGCAATAAGACTTTTTTCTTCTTCTCCATTCTCATTTCTCTAAGCCCCACAAAAGCAAAACAAGAACTGATTTACTATGGTGATCATCATGAGCAACAACAACGTAATGCCTGCACACTTTAGGATTTCATTTGAGATGATTGAGTTATTAAGTGGTAAATCAGGTATTTATATTAGTTTTTGGTTTCTTTATGGAATTAATTAGTTTCCTTAAGGAAGTTTCGTGGTGTCAGTTTTTTGAGGAATTAGATCGAGTATTATACTAGTACTAAGAAGCCAAAAAAGTGGAGGGGCCATGGCCCCTCCCAGCCCCTGTTGAGTTCCGCCCCCTAGCCAAATTGATGTCAGAGTAACCAGAAATCTTATTTTCATTCTTTCCTTTCAAGTAGACTAAACCATAGTCCACAATACCTTTTACATATCTAAGGATGCCTTTCACTTCCTGGAGATGCTTTGTAGTTGGTTTCTCCATGAAACAGCTAACTACACCAACCGCAAAGGACAAATCGGGATGGGTATGGATTAGATACCTTAAACTTCCCATGATTCTTCTATATTCAGTTGGATTCACCAGCTCCCTGTGTGTCACACCCCCGGTCGACGGCGGAAACATCAGGCTATGCGATGTAGTCATGGATCACAGTTATTGAACATACATTGAACAATACAAAAGATAACATAAATAGTGAATGTGTTAATATTGAAAAAGAGATTTCAATGATATTTAATGCTTACAATAATCTGATGCCTTAAATAGTACGCAACTTAATAAAACTGCGTCACTGGTGGATAGGTGATCGCGATTTCACGATTTGTCTTCCGGTAATGCAAGCTTCCGACTCTTCATTTCCTAGGAATACATGCGATTTTAAAAACGACAACATAATTGTAACATCTCGATATCAAGGTAATTTCAATTTCAATCCTATGTTTGAATAATATTGGATTTTAGCTCTTGGGTTTGAATGGATTGCAAATTGGCCCATAGTGGTAATATGGTAATTCCATCCTGAAGTAGTACGATGAGCGTATGCTATGTATACTAGGCGTACTAGGTCGCGCCCTGGTATGCTAGGCATACACCTCGTAAGTGGGGCATACGTGAAGAATGTGCAAACCCCAAAATTCTACGGTTTGGTCCATATATAAACCCCATTATAGCTTCATGTATCATTTCTTCATCAGCCTCCCACTGTGAAAAACGACCCCAAACAAACCCTAAGTGAGAAGAGTACATTTTGAGCCCATTGGAGTATTTTAGAAGTGTTATTAAAGAAGAAGAAGGTGGTGAGAAGAGCTTGGAGCTTGGAAGCATCTTGGATATGAGATGCCCTTCTTGTTAGCAATCTCCAGGAGGTATAAAGTTCACAACTTGATCACTCCATCTTGTAGATCTAGACACTTCTTCCTTTAAGAAACTTTTCCTCCCAAATATGGTGATTCTTGAGCATGTCATGTTCTTAACCCAATAAGCCGTCCTTTTAGACCTTATGAGGGGTCTTGAGTCATAAAAATGTGGTCTTGAGGGTTAGTTTCACTCCATGCATGCTATAGAAGGTCTTAATGCGTTAAGATGTTGAGATTTTGTGTTTTAAGAACTTAATGGACATGCAAAGTCATAAAGTTGGAAACTTTATGACTCTTGAGGGTATTTTGGCTTTGGATCTAACTTTGGACGTGTAGATTGGGAGTATTAAGTTCTTAATGGAGAAAGGGTTGAACTGGCGTGTACGTTGGGCATACCAAGTGGTACGTTGCGCGTACGCGGTTAGCACCTTGTAAGCTGGCCAATCACCGAGTACACCCCGCGTACAGAAGATTATATCCAGCGTACTCGGCTGAGTCGACTCGGTCGGGTTGGCTCAGCTGGGTTGACTCGGCTAGGTGTTGTCTTTAACTTTGACCAAGTTTGATTTAAGGGTATTTTGGATTGTGTTTGAGAATTGGTTATTTGGATGGATATGTGACGTTTAGAGCTAAGATTCGGAGTCAGGACCTCATCAGCTATTTTTCAGATTGAGAGGTAAGTCTTCCTTACTATACTTGTGGGTCGAAGGCACCAGGGCCGACCTATTGGATTGAATATCCTGCTATATGATAATATGTTATTATGTTGTAGAGATCTATTAGATCAGTATCATGGTATATAGGATGTTAGCATGCGGTAGTGATCTGTAGATCTGCCTGTTTGTCTGTTGACTGGTTATATGTTTATCTGTTATGTATATATCGACATGTTATGTTTGGGTGGGTTGAGATGGTCAGGCTTTGTGCTGAAGGCCAAGATACTGGGGCACTCCGGATAGACTGTAGGCCCTGGGAGGTGGTCTAGTTAAGCCGAAGGCCTGACGAGCTGTCCGGATAGGCTGTAGGCCCTGCGAGGCTGTCCAGTCATGTCGAAAGCTTGGAGAGCAGTCCAGATAGGTCGTAGGCCTTGCGAGGCAGTCCATTCATGCTGAAGGTTCAGTTATGCATGTTGTTGTTTGTTATGTTTATGTGGTGGTTCTTTGGGGGAACTCACTAAGCTTTGGCTTACGATTTAGTTTATTGTTTCAGGTACTTCTAATGATCGCGGAAAGGCGAAGGCGTTACCGTATACATCCTCCTGTTTTATGCCCTTGTGATTTTGGGATACTCTGATATTGATAAAAACTTTGGAAACAATGATTTTGTAAACATTTTGTGATTTTGGGTTTTTTTGAAAAGTTTTAATATTGTTGTGATTTTTGAGCCGTTACAATAATGTTGGAGAGTTAACAGGTTTATAGTGTTTGTATTGGAATTTGGAAGTATCAAGTATTTATTTTATTGTATATAAGTATTTCTAACTTATATCATATGTTGATTATTCATCCGAAAATAGTGTTATACTGTATATAAGTATTGCTTTCAACTTATTTAATTAGTGGTGCAATTTTATCCTAAAAATAGTATTTTGTGATAAATAAGTATTGTTTAAACTTATATAATTGGCGGTGTGCTTTTATCCTAA